TACTTCCTTGGCCATGGTCTTCAGCCTACATATATGTAAAAATTCCAATTTATTTCTAGCTAAAAGATCTTTAATAGAGGAGCTATGATCATTATCAATAAAACGTAAAGCTCTTTCTTGTATCTTTTTCATTTTTGCCATGAAAGAGGACAAAAATTAAAATTAGATAAAATAAAAGATTTAGAAATGGTGACTTTGCCTTTATTTGACAGATAATTTCCAATTCATTGAGTATACATAGTTGTTTGGAAGCCTTCCTACATAAGTCTGTACCTGTAATTTGGTGATCTCCAATAGCGAAAGAGGAAATTTGCTCTTTTGATTTCTTTCCTATGCAGATGGCCTGGAATTTTTCTAGGTTAGCCTGCATGCCATTTTTAGTGAACCAGTCAATGAATATAACACATTAAGATCAAGAGCACTATCAGTGATATGAGACAAAGTGTTGTCATCAGCATAGTTAAACAGAGATCCACGTTTTAAGACAGTAACAATGTCATTCATGAATACATTGAGAATAAGAGGCCCCACTATACAGCTTTGGGGGACCCCCTTCCTGAGCCATCCCCAGTCGCTGACCATGGGGCCAAGCCTGACCCGCTGTTGTCTGTCACTGAGGTAACTACTGACAAGTGCAACTGCTGACTCACCTAGCCCATATGCTTGCAGCTTCCCCAACAACAGACTATCTGGGAGGCAGTCAAAAGCCTTGGCTCCTAATTGGTTGTGGTTGTCCGAGGCCTGACGCCAATCTTCCAGGAGTCGCACCAATAGCCCCGTCTGAAGGCGACCAGGAAGGGGTTACAAATATCTTTAAAAAACTCACTAAGCTGGTCGTGCAATATCTTCTCAAAGACCTTTGAGATCGTGGGAAGAACACTCACAGGTCTATAATTTTCCTTGTTTAATGGATCTTTCTTTTTGAAGATAGGAATGACCTGAGCTAGTTTAAGTGAGTGTGGAAACCTTCATTCAGCAATGCAAAAAGTAAAAATATTTGTGAGTGGTTGACATAAGGATTCAGAGCCAGCTTTCAACATTTTTGCACAGATACTATCAACACCGACAGATTTCTTTGTATCCTGCTTTCTTATCACATCTTTAATATTTTTTTAAAAACTACAATGCTATATGCTATGACACATACGATACATTGTACCACACCAACTGGCAAAACATGAAAACATCCTTCATTAAATACTACGCTGACATATCATGGGAATGCATACAATGTGGCATGTCAAATTTCTCGTCGACACTATTCGATACAACATTAATACACTCCACAAACAGATTTTCGGAACTCGACTCGATAAATTCCATAGACGACTCTGCAAGCCTAGGACCACCAACAGCCACTTCCTCTCTCATCAAAAACAACACACAACAACTCAATACAAACTCGACAATCCAATACGCATCACAACAATTAACGTCCAATCCATATCCAACAAAAAAACAGACCTAGAAGAAATAATCCACACAATCAAACCAGACATCATCATAGGCAAAGAGACATGGCACAACTTCAGCATACGAATACTTTCCAATAACACAGTACACAGTATATAGAAAATACCGCACACCAAACGCAATAGGACAAAGCCACGGTGGAGTACCACTCGCTATCACAAACAAATACATCTCAAAACAACTCCCAGAATTCGAAACAGATAACGAATCCATTTGTACCAACATCAAAATGTCAAATTCACACAACTTCATAGTAGGTGCATACTACAGACCACCATCAGACAAAGGACATTCACTCACAGAACTCGAAACATCCCTGAACAAAATTGGAAAACAGAACAACACAATAACATTTATAAGCGGACAATACAACCTTCCACACATAGATTGGTCAAACAACACCACAACACCAGGCAAACCAGACACATCCCTACATGTACGTCAACGCCTGCTAGACATCATCGACGACAACTTCCTCGCCCAAACCATAGACAAACCCACAAGAGGAGAACACATTTTCGACCTAACTCTCAAAAATCGAACATCCATCATCAATAAACAAGAAATAGTCCCACCGATAGTCAAGGCCGATCACGACATCATATATAGAGAAGCAGACGATAGACTACAAATAACACGCAATTCACCTAGGAACATTAACCTAGCTATATAACAAATCAAACTGGGACAACATCAGAAAAGACCTGACTAATCTAAATAACAACTTTTAGGACCTAGAACATCAAAACCCAGAATACCTTTGGATAAGCTTGAAACCAACACCCCATACATCTACAGAAAAAAAACCCCATTAAAATCACTAACATACAAACACAGACTAACCTGGATGAACAACTCACTTCGCCGCCTCTCAAACAAATCTAAACGCCTCCACCATAAATCAAGAACAAACCACAAACTTTTCCACACATACAAAACAGTTAAAAGCTGAAGTGCAAAAACAAACCCGCAATGCATACCTACAATACATTGCGAAGATGATTGCCAAAGCCTTTGACAAAGTCCTACACAAAAACTTACTGTACAGACAAAAATAGTACGGCATCACCGGAACCACACTTGCATGGGTAACAGCCTTTCTATCACAACGCACCCAAACAGTAGTACTTCAGGGCAAACACTCAGACAAAATCCCAGTAACATCTGGAGTGCCCCAGGGAACCTGTTTGGGGACCAGTCCTCTTCCTCATATACATCAACGACTTCCCCGAATACATATCACACAGTACACTAAGACTTTTTGAAGACGACAGCATAATATACAAAACGATCAGCAGCAAAGATGATACAACAAAACTACAAACGTATTAAGATATAGCTAGTAAATGGCAAGAGGACTGGCTCATGAAATTCCACCCAGACAAATGCACCATACTCACTATATCACCAAAACGCACGCAAATTAAACACCAATGCACACTCCAAACAAATATCTAGGCGTCACTGGTCTGGTTTAGTATTGTTTAACGTCCTATCAACAGCTATGGTCATTTAAGGACGGTCTAGGCATCACACTTCAAAACAACTTAAAATGGAACAAACATATTAACAACATCACATTAAATGCATAAAAATCGCTAGGCTTTCTGAAAAGCAACCTAAAAATAAATTCACCACATATAAAAGAACATGCATTCAAGGCCATTGTCAATTAGAAAACGTACAACGAAGAGCTGCACGATATGTCCGAAACAAATACCATAGCACAAGCTCGTTCACAGACATGATAATCAACTTGCAATGGCAAACACTACACACATGCAGAACAAGAACACGCGTTATTCTTCTCTACAAAATAATACACCAACAAGAAGCAATACACACAATCAATCTCATCCCCGCAGACACCAGACCACATCAAGGACACGACGACCGTTACAGACATATCTACACATCCAAAGACACATACAGACACTCATTCTTTTCATGCACCAACACAGTGGAACCTCCTACCCAAAACAATAATCCAATCAGAAACACTATCAGAATTCAGGACGTGCACCACATATAACATAATCGAACACACTCACTGAAATCAACCTGTTTTTATCCTGTAGCGAATAATAAAAATGAAATAAAAAAAAATCACTGTACATAATAACGCACTACGTACGGCACAAAACCAAAATTCCGTAACCGTCAATATTCCGTCTTTGCGTATTGCAGAGTTATCTTCTCTTGGGAGCAGGTATTGATTGTTACGTCACTTGTTTGTGAGAATAACGTCATCAATTTTTGAGAAAACGACGTAATTTTCTCGCACAAACCAATGATCACGTAACAATCAATACCTGCTCCCAAGAGAAGATAACTCTGCAATACGCAAAGACGGAATTGACGGAGGCAGGTTTATAGCCAAACAATCTACGTATTGCATGTAAAACCAAACCATGGACTCTCCGACAGCGCCATCCATATTATGAAGATCTTGCTGCAGTATTTCTCCATTAGACTTAAATTCTATTTTCAGTATATGATTGATTTTCTTACGAGTGTAGTTCGGGGTCTCCGAACTTCTCCCGCCCCACTTGTGTTCCAGCTTCGCTTGCACACTGGGGACATCGCTTGTTATAAAGGATTGTCTGAAAACCAATGACCTGCAATAAACCAAATACAACCCGTGAAATTGATATGAACACGTTTTAGTTTAAGCCCAAACATAGGCTGTAACACAATGACATGTTCGTGTCCCTGTGCTCCCATCCTCGATATCCAAGGGTTACGCTCACTTTCCCTATCTGCACCCCTGGAATATGTCATAGCAAAATTGAAGGCTCAATGTGCAGCACCGTGTGGACGAGACGAGAAGACTAGTTCGATCCTTCCAAGTCGGACGTCTCTCCGTTGTAATCTTCAAAGAACAGTTATCAGCCTAGCGATTGGTCAGATTTTTTTTTTACCTGAGACCAATCAAACAGATATCTATCTTCGTGCCTTCAATTTTGCTATGACATATCATTCCAGGGGTGTGGAGAGCGAAAGTTAGCGTCAAGGATGCCGTGCTCCGTACAGCAGAGTGAGTCAGCATTCCCTTCTTTAACTATAGAATGCTGCATGGCAATGCAATGTCACAAGATGAAAAAAATCTTTAATGATCCCAGTACTGTTGCACTGTGATTTTTACCTAAACGGCACAGTATCAGTATCTCTCTCTCCCCCCCCCCCCCCCCCCCCCCCCCCCTTTAACTTCCGTTTGAACAGTAGCACAACTGGGCCATGCCACTTCCGTTGACCAGGCAGCACAATCGATTACAGCGATAAAAAAAACAATCTGAAGCCCTGCTGAATTATTCACTTAATTAAAACACAATTGTTGATTGCATTTTGTTCATTTTATATCTATCATTACTCATAAAAGTCCCCCAACGTATACTTTTCTTTGCAGAAAATATGTCTATAAGTTAATATAGCCATGCTGGAATAAAGCTTATTCACATTTTTTGAGCGGTACGGGGATCCTTAAAATTTAGACAGTAAAACATCGCCACCATCGATATAGAGTTATCGCCCTTGAGTCACATTACTTCCTGAATCTGTATTGAAAACAAATGTAGTATCATGAACTCATTTCCTATATAAATGTGGTATAGTTTTGATTTTCTTATCATATAAGAATGATTTACAGCTAGAGTGGATTATATTGTGAAGAATGGAACGAGTTACAGCTGTTGTCACGATCCTCGTTTTGACAAGTTTGATTTCGGGAAGTCTTTGCCAAAATCATTATCATGAAGTAAACGCAGGTATTGAATTGTTCCTCTCGGAGGCTTTGGGGACTATTCATATTAACAGGGACAAATGCATCTCACTAAACATAGATTCTTCTCGGGATTAGAACCTATTAACTGCTTTATAACATTATATCACCAAAAAAGTGTCTTGAAACTGTTTTTCACTTGGTAATATAATCTGTCACAACAGTCGGACATTGTAAAACACAGGAGCCTGAAATTGTGTCAAGCCTAGCTTAACAACGACTGAAAATAGTTCTACATTGTAGCAGGCATCTATCTGTAATGAGAATGAAATTGTACTGGGTTGATCCATGCAGTGTAAGTTATTAAATTAAACTCAAATGGTGGAATGCCCATCTTGATTTATGTTCTAAAGGTCCTTATTTTAAATCATTTACTTCATCTGACCCATTGCAGTTACCTTTGGCAGGTTGGGCACAACGGCGCACATGGGTAATAATCCTGCATTTGGTAAACATCTTTGTATGTAATGGTTGAATGCACTTCGAATCTACTTTCACTATCCTATATAAAAAATCAAAATTTTGTACTTCACTTATGTTATTGAAAATCGCCATATCTATTGGTTTTTACAAACAACTTTTGGTTGAACAGTGTCAAAACACGAAAAACGTTCAACCAAAAATTGTTTGTAATAACCATATAAATAGCGATTTTTAATAAAGATAGTGAAGTACAAAATTTTGATTTTTTATATAGGATAGTGAAAGTAGATTTGATGTGCATTTAACCATAATATACAAAGATGCTACCCAAATGCGCCGTTGTGCCCAACCTGTTTGGTACGGATTAAGATACCTTTGAATGGTACTACATACCATGGGGTATAAGTTGGTTTGGTTGTCAAAGTTTATCATAGACAACTTACAAAGCAGGAGATTTTGAAAAAAAGAGTATTTTAAGTCATTCTGATTTTTTTTTATCCTTTTAGATTTGAAACCAGCCAAACCATCTGTAATCAAAGTACAAGGCAACAGCAGAGTAAATCTTACAATCAAGTCTATCCCAGTCGATACAACTCATGTTGTGTGTCAATTACACACTCATAAAGATCCGTTGAGTTTATCCCTCAGCCCGACCCTGTCTCCAGATGTCACAGAGACGGAAACAGATATGGGTGTGACTACATTGCTGTCAAAGAATCAAAAAGATATGTTCTGGTACCTCAAGTCTGATCACAACCATACCGTGGAAGCGCTAGTTACTGTTATCTTGTATACCTGGAAAGGTAAGTTTTTTTGTATAGTACTATTCACAAATATATATAGTATACAAATTAAAGCCTTCAAACAAATAACATCCCCATAACCCCTCACCAGTAATATCCCCATAACCCCTCACCAGTAAAATCCTCATAACCCCTCACCAGTAACATCCCCATAACACCTCACCTGTAACATCCCCATAACCTCTCACCTGTAAAATCCCAATGACCCCTCAACTGTAACATCCCCATAACCCCTTACCTGTAACATCCCAAAAACCCCTCACCAGTAATATCCCAATAACCCCTCACTTGTAACATCCCCATAACCCCTCACCTGTAACATCCCCATAACCCCTTACCTGTAACATCCCAATAACCCTTCACCTGTAACATCCCCATAATCCCTCACCAGTAACATCCCCATAACCCCTCACCAGTAACATCCCACTAACCCCTCACCAGTAACCTCCCCATAACCCCTCACCAGTAACATCTCCATAACCCCTCACCAGTAACACCCCCATAACCCCTCACAAGTAACATCTCCATAACCCCATACCAGTAACATCCATGTAACCCCTCACCAGTAACCTCCCCATAACCCCTCACCAGTAACAACCCCATATCTCCTCACCAGTAACATCTCCATAACCCCTCACCAGTAACATCCCCATAACCCCTCACCAGTAACATCTCCATAACCCCTCACCAGTAACATCCCCATAACCCCTCACAAGTAACATCTCCATAACCCCATACCAGTAACATCCATGTAACCCCTCACCAGTAACCTCCCCATAACCCCTCACCAGTAACAACCCCATATCTCCTCACCAGTAACATCTCCATAACCCCTCACCAGTAACATCCCCATAACCCCTCACCAGTAACATCTCCATAACCTCTCACCAGTAACATCTCCATAACCCCTAACCAGTAACATTCCCATAACCCCTCACCAGTAACATCCCCATAACCCCTTACCAGTAACATCCCCATAACCCCTCACCAGTAACATCCCCATAACCCCTCAACAGTAACATCCCAATAACCCCTCACCTGTAACATCCCCATAACCCCTTACCAGTAACATCTCCATAACCCCTCACCAGTAACATCTCCATAACCCCTCACCAGTAACACCCCCATAACCCCTCACAAGTAACATCTCCATAACCCCATACCAGTAACATCCATGTAACCCCTCACCAGTAACCTCCCCATAACCCCTCACCAGTAACAACCCCATATCTCCTCACCAGTAACATCTCCATAACCCCTCACCAGTAACATCCCCATAACCCCTTACCAGTAACATCCTCATAACCTCTCACCAGTAACATCTCCATAACCCCTAACCAGTAACATTCCCATAACCCCTCACCAGTAACATCCCCATAACCCCTCTGAAGTTACTTATATAAAATATGCTGTTGTAATTGCACATCCTGTCCGTTAGCTTGTAACTGAAGGCTAATTATAGTAAATAGTTCATCTTGAATATGTGAGGTCAAGTGAATTTATTCTTAAAAATCTGAACAAATGTATTGAGAAAAATCTTACGTCATAGGTTGTGTATATATATATATATGTAGAAAAAATAAGATTAACGACCGACTAATAAACTAGCTGCTAAATAATTAGTCGGTCGTTAATCTTATTTTTAGCTCACATGGCCCGAAGGGCCAAGTGAGCTTATGGCATGGTGCGGCGTTCGTCGTCCGTCCGGCGTCCGGCGTCCGTCCGGCGTCAACCTTTTACTTTAAACAACTTCTTCTTAGTAACCAAAAGGGCTAGGGTAATGATATTTGGCCAGAAGCATGCTGGGATGAAGGGCTACCAAGTTTGTTCAAATAAATGACCTTCAACCATTTTCAAAGTCACAGGGGTCAAATATGTTAAACTCTTTAAACAACTTCTTCTGAATAACCAAGAGGCCTAGGGTGATGGTCTTTGACCATTAACATGCTGGGATAAAGGCCTACCAAGTTTGTTCAAATAAATGACCTTGACTTATATTCAAGGTCACTGGAGTCAAATATCTTTAAAACCTTTAAACGACTTCTTCTGAATAACCAATAGGCCTAGGGTGATAATATTTGGCCAGTAACATGCTGTGATGAAGGGCTACCAAGTTTGTTCAAATAAATGACCTTGATTTATATTCAAGGTCACTGGGGTCAAATATGTTTAAAACCTTTAAACGACTTCTTCTGAAGAACCGAGAGGCCCAGGGTGATGATATTTGGCCAGTAACATGCTGGGATGAAGAGCTACCAAGTTTGTTCAAATAAATGACCTTGATTTATATTCAAGGTCACTGGAGTCGAATATCTTTAAAACCTTTAAACGACTTCTTCTGAATAACCAAGAGGCCTAGTGTGATGATATTTGGCCAGTAACATGCTGAGATGAAGGGCTACCAAGTTTGTTCAAATAAATGACCTTGGTTTATATTCAAGGTCACTGGGGTCAAATATGTTTAAAACCTTTAAACGACTTCTTCTGAAGAACCGAGAGGCCCAGGGTGATGATATTTGGCCAGTAACATGCTGGGATGAAGAGCTACCAAGTTTGTTCAAATAAATGACCTTGATTTATATTCAAGGTCACTGGGGTCAACTATGCTTAAAACCTTTAAAAGACTTCTTCTGAATAACCAAGAGGCCTAGGATGATGATATTTGGCCAGTACCATGCTGGGATGAAGGGCTACCAAGTTTGTTCAAATAAATGACCTTGATTTATATTCAAGGTCACTGGGGTCAAAAATGTTTTTAACCTTTAAATGACTTCCCCTAAATAACTGAGAGGCCTAGGGTGATGATATTTGACCAGTATTATGCTGAGATGAAGGGCTACCAAGTTTGTTCAAATAAATGACCTTGATTTATATTCAAGGTCACAGGGGTCAANACCTTTAAACAACTTCTTCTTAATAACCGAGAGGCCTAGGGTGATGATATTTAGCCAGTAACATGCTGGGATGAAGGGCTACCAAGTTTGTTCAAATGAATGACCTTTGCCAATTTTTTCTGAATTACTTTCAAGACATTGATATTTTGCCTGTAGCTTTATTTTAGTCCTCTTTTAAGGTTACAATTGTGAGATTAATACCAGGTGAGCGATGCAGGCCCATTGGGCCTCTTGTTTCTATATTTACTTCCTTCACATGAACATTTAATCCCTTTTTATTATATATATACAACATTTGATATAGCGTCCTATCTAGCCAACATAGTTAAGCCACTCTAAAGCGCTTTACAGTTCATAGATATACAATTCAATACAATGTGTTTGTATTGTAATCATCCCCCAAAACATCATCATTAATGCTGTATCCCCATGACCCAAAACCTTTATACAATGATGAAACTATTATATTTAAAAGATTTTTTTTTTTTTTTTTTTTTGTTGCAGATCCTATACCCGGGGGTTGCAACTCTGAGTACACTTTTGAAAATGATCCAAGTTTCCACCTTTCATTTGACTCTTCTAAGACCAAGACCAAGTTCCAGTGGTCAAGCCATTGGAGAAATCGGTCAACGAACCCTGGTCCTGACGATTGTGAACACTTATCCAATCCATTGCAATATGACATGTATGTTTACTATCTTCCTGGTGGAGACTTCTCTCAGGAGAAACACTTTGATGGGATACAGAAAATGATGACTGTGGCTGATGTGTTACAGAACGGAAAGAAGGTAAGTCAGGTTTCTTATTGTCAAAAGATGTATACAGTAAAACCTTGTTATACTGCCACCATTTGCATTTGTCCGGAAAATCTTTGTGTTATAAAAGGGGTTGGTGATAAATTGAGGGACATATATATAAAGGAATTCTCAGGAAACGAGGACAGAAAGGACAGGGCATCTTAATTATTTGTCCCAATTGGAAATATCATGGAATTAGATTATCTAAGTTAGTCCATGGAAATATCAAATAAATTGTTATGCAAGAGAAATTGTAAAATTTATTTCATCTGTATATGTATAATACTTGTACAGATTGTTTTAACTGATGGATGGTTATTAATACTCCATTGTTCATTCATCCAACCATCAACTATTTAAGCAATGAAAAATCAATCAATCAATGTAAAACAAAATGATAAATTACAGGATCTGTCAATTCAGTATAATTATATCTGATTGTAGATAAGCAACATAAAGGATGACAAGACAACAACCGTATCCGAGTTTACGATAACATCCTATACTGGTCAGGGCACGATCTACAATGTCATCGTCACAGATACCAGTACGGGTGTGGTGTCGAGGGCGGCCTACATCCCCACCACTACTTACGTGTGTGATCTGAACAACACGGACAGCTGTCACATGATAGGTACAAGCTTATACGAAAAGTGTTGCTGTACTTGAAAATAAACATCAAACAACGGTTTATACAGCTCTGATTTTCACACATTGTTACCTTTTAAATGTTTGGAAAAATGTCAGTTTTCTCTGTGATAAATATGATATTTTGAGTTAACCCTTTCACCCCTACGTAAGTTTAGTAGACTCTACCATGTATTGATCTGGATGAGTCCATTATGGTCTACAGTGACGAAAGGGTTAATTGGGTTTGTATTGTTCCCATTAACTAGCAAAATAATTTACAATTAGTTATTACTGCTACAGGAAAATGTATTCACAAATGTTCTTGCCAATTAGTTGAAGTGAAAATATAAAGCATTTATCCTTTAAGATTTCTAAAAAAATAGAAATGCTGCATACCAAAAAATGTTTGCTGCAGCTCAGCTTCTGCGCATTTTGCCCTTCATCATAAAGGCAAATTTATTTATGGTGACTGATGTCAACCACAGCTAACTATAAAGCTAACTTTGTTGTAATTAGTCTTAATAGAGATATTTGTAATGGAAATACATGTATATAAATGATATCATCAGCTGAATACTAACTTTATGTACATGATTTTTTACCCAGGAAGTGGAGGAAAGGTGTTGGCTGTCATCGGAGGAGTGTTAGGCCTATTTTTTATTATACTAGGGCACAGATTCTTCAAGACATGTAAGACGACTTTATTAAAAATAGGTTAAAAGTCGTTAAAAATTTAATAACCAGGTTGTTTGGCTTTTGAATGATAAAAGACTATAATCAACACGTGATAAGGAATCCTTGCTTGGAATCCATTCAGTGTTTTATCTCGGGAATTGATCTGAATCAGGATCTGACTTAATTTGTTATGGTATTGGCTTAAACAAATGTAGCTAGTTGTTTAGTCACTGTAGCGTGGACAAAATAACTTGTAACTGAATGTAATTTACCTGTGATCAATCAAGGAGGCCTTGACCTTTATCTTTTTAAATATCTCACACTATAGGAGTTTATTACAATAAACAATAATTCATTGCATCTACAATGTATGAGATCTTGAATGCGCATATGTTGTAATACTTATCTTTTACTTTAAGCAACCTTCCTGGCACCATTTCTTGGTTTTGGACTGATATCTGTCATCCTGTTTGAACGTTTCACTACTCAGTCTATATTAGGTAAGCTAAATAGGTTTTTGGCTACAAATGGTTGTGTTTCACATAGATTCTTGTCAGATCATGATTGCATTCCAGGGCCTTGATATTACATTAAAGAAAAATTATAAAAATTTGCTTACTCTAGTTCAACAATGTACCTCTGATAAATAGGGATACCTTGATTATGTGAATACCTTGATTGTGTGAATATCTTAATGTCAGATTGTCAGATTGGCTTCTCTTTTAAATATTACAGGACTGATTGCAACTTTTTTTAAACTACTCAATGGAGATAAAGTTGAAAATTTTGATTTATTTGATTTAACTGTAGATTATAAGAACACATAAGATCTAGACTGAAATACACAGTATGTTTAAGGAAAGCATTAAGATTAATATAAACCTCAGTGTATTTCACCACTATTTGTTTAGTAAGATGTTGTGTTATAAAGAGGTTTGGTGATACATATATAAATGTGAATAGAAAAGGAAAAGATGACCTTGAAATAAGTTGCCAGTGATCGAGGTGACAACTGAAATGAATGGCATTATTTTGAGATAGTGCTTCATACATAACCTGAACCACTAACAGCTGAGTTCATCTAGCATTTAATTGAAGCTTGATGATTATGGGTTGTAGAGAAGAGAGATTCTGTTGGAATATTAAGATGATTGTTTTATACAATGTAACGAAATGTGTGACCAAACGTTCTGTTGATGTTTACAGTTGTATTGGTGTTGAGTGCTGTGGTTGGAGTTGTCCTGGCGACAGGATGGCTGGCGTTTTGGTGGTGGCACGGAGTCCACACCATAGCTGTCTTACTGACTGGTTTGACATCTGGTTACATCATCTCCAGTATCCTTTTCTTCAGTCCATTAGGTAAGTACATCTAGTGATAGAAGTTGGGTCAGAACCATGCATGACCTACCAAGGACATGACCCAAACATCTACACCTGTGGAAAAAATCCATATTTCCAATACTAACATTTGTATATACTCATTGACTGTTTTTCTCCCATCCCTTACATGGGATATTGGTAATGATTGTATACTGACAATGGGTTTTTCTGTGCATGTGTGAGTAATTATATAATACATACAGAGTTATGTCCCTTCGCTCACCAAGTGTCATTTTGTCTGGTGCATATCCCATATACTCTGCCATCTAAAATTTCTCTTTTTTTTGTATGTGAGTACCTTTATGTTATTGTCCTTTGTTTACTGTGCCTCACTTCGAGAAGGTTGAGTCTCGCATACCGGAATAAGATCTTGCGCAAACATATCAGAGTTATGTCCCTTCGTTTGTTTTGTCAGGAGGTTGTTAACAGTTAATAGTTCTTAAATATAACTCATTCACCCCTGAAATTATGAACTATTCCAACCTATGAATTGGAAGAGTTCAAATGTGTCTTCAAGGGTGAATGCATTAACAAAATGATCGATGCATCAATACGTGCTGGAATTGAATAAATACAGCCTTTTGAGTACAGGGAGAATGTACAACACGGATGAAAGATTATAATCATCAGACCATTACATGAGTTTGACAGATGAGCCTCCAACTCATTTTATTAAAAGTAAGCTTTGACAGGAGTAGTCCAGCTGAATTATAGCTATATGAGGTCAGCATGCTTCATACATTACATAGATACCTTTAATATATGTAATATGAAAATCTATTTTTAACAGGAAACCTGAACTATTGGAGTCGAGAGTTTAACTACGGAATGTCATTCACCGTGGGCATACTTATTATACCTGTTGCACTGCTTTACTGGACCAAACAAGTGAGTGGTATATATTGGTACATACTATTGTATGTAGATTGAGTGGTCTATAGTGGTACGTACTATTGTATGTAGATTGAGTGGTTTATAGTGGTATATACTATTGTATGTAGATTGAGTGGTATATAGTGGTACATACTATTGTATGTAGATTGAGTGGTCTATAGTGGTACGTACTATTGTATGTAGATTGAGTGGTATGTAGTGGTACATACTATTATATGTAGATTGAGTGGTTTATAGTGGTACGTGCTATTGTATGTAGATTGAGTGGTACATATTGGTACATTCTATTGTATGTGGATTGAGTGGTACATATTGGTACATACTATTGTATGTAGATTGAGTGGTTTATAGTGGTACGTACTATTGTATGTAGATTGAGTGGTACATATTGGTACATACTATTGTATGTGGATTGAGTGGTACATATTGGTACATACTATTGTATGTAGATTGAGTGGTATGTAGTGGTACATATTATTGTATGTGGATTGAGTGGTATATAGTGGTACATACTATTGTATGTAGATTGAGTGGTATGTAGTGGTACATGCTATTGTATGTAGATACAGAATCTCAGGTTATGTATCCTCAACAGTCACATTCAGTATATAGTTCATTTAGTGAGCTATCGTTAATGGTCTGGTCAGCTATTTTATTAACTGTGTCTAAACTCTTCACGTCATTTTGGCATTATCGCTACTGTAGCATCATTATCACTACTGTAGCATCATTATCGCTACTGTAGCATCATTATCGCTACTGTAGCATCATTATCACTACTGTAGCATCATTATCGCTACTGTAGCATCATTATCACTACTGTAGCATCATTATCACTACTGTAGCATCATTATCGCTACTGTAGCATCCTTATCACTACTGTAGCATCATTATCACTACTGTAGCATCATTATCGCTACTGTAGCATCCTATTTAAAAACATATCGGAACACCATAGAGATTTGTCAGATAAGTCAAACTTTTATGTTTTAACTCAAAAATATTTTTAAATCAAAAACATTTTTGAATTAAATGAAACCAGTCAGAATAATAATAATTGTACTATATAAAGAGAATGAAAGGGTGCCACCACCTAACTTGTCTGTGTATACTTTTCCAGATGATCCTAACTTGTGTGTGTATTTTTCCAGCTGAGTAACCTAACTTGTGTGTGTACTTTTCCAGCTGAGTATCCTGTCTTGTACATTCCTGGGTGGCTACTTGGTTTGTATCACTGTGGATGTTTTCGTGGACAGTGGTTTTAAAAATATCATCCTGAACTCTTTGCGACATGCCGCGGAGCCAAACTACCTGTCTGTGACAGTAACAGGGCCCTATCTTACAACAGGTAATTATCATCAGTGTAATTCCAGTGTATTCAGTTGTGGCATCGCACAACGTTACACGATGTACAGCGCACAATGTGTGCACGGTGTGTGAACGATGTGTGCACGAAGTGCAAACGATAAAAAATTGGACGATCATTGCTTGCGCACATTTGTGCGAATGTTGTGCGATAACAATCGTGGTTGGTGTAAATTGAGGAATGCCTTAACAATATATACGGTTTCATGTAATTGTTTAAACACATAAACTTGATTATTTAGTATGTTTCTATATTCTAGCTACATCTATAAGCTTATCTTTCTGTCTATACTTTCTTAAATTTAGAAGTGGTGTTCTCTGTGTTTTTACATGTAAAATTACATCTCGGCAATACAGGTAAACATATATAGCCACTTTGTATCTGTACCTGGACTGTAGTTATCCCCCGCCCGGGGCACTTACGTATCTCGCCAAGGTATGAAAACCAGGTGAAGGGGAGCTATAGACCAAAACAAATGCAAATAACAAATACTAAACATCCAGTTATGTTTTCATAACAGTCATACGGTATCACATATATCAGCTCTATGTTTCAGGCGCCGACCAGGTAAAACTCTGGTCACTCATCAAATTGTTATTTACCTGTTCTGTTACCTAGGAGCTCAACCCATTCTTGACAGTCTAACGGTCACTATAACACTGTGTAACACGCATTGTAAAATTGTACATAATCTTGATGAGAAATTACAGTAATATATATACAGTGTATATTATTGCATACGAGCATTTCATATTTTTTTCATTCCATAATATTGTTAAACAAATTGTACCAAATCGCACAACGAGGCAATCAATTATTAAATCGCACAGTTGTGCACACCATGTGTGGATGATGTGATGTGTGGATGATGTGCAGGCGGTCTGTGAATGGTGTATGCACGGTGTGCGCACTGTAATTTTGGTGCGTTGTGTGGTCACACAACTGTAGCAAAACACAGTGTCAAGGTAAAAGTTGATACTAATATAAAGACAGGTTGATCATATGATAAAACTCCAAAATAAGTTTACTTGCATCACAATACCATATCTTGAAGAATTCAATTAATATACATATCACATCATTATCAAAAAAATATCTTGCACACACAGATATGGGTGACAACTTTATCCTTGCTACACAATCAGATATGGGAGATCACTCTATCCTACACTACCATATATGGGTGATAACTATATCCTACACACACAGGTATGGGTGATAACTATATATATCTTACACACACAGGTATGGGTGATAACTTCATCCTACACACACATGTATGGGTGATAACTATATTCTACACACACAGGTATGGGTGATAACTATATCCTACACACACAGGTATGGGTGCTAACTATATCCTACACACAGATATATGTGTGATAACTCTACCCTACACACACAGGTATGGGTGATATCTATATTCTACACAGACAGATATGGGTGATAACTATATCCTGCACATGCATGTATGGGTGATAACTATATCCTACACACACAGGTATGGGTGATAACTATATCCTACACTTACATATATGGGTGATTTCTATATCCTACACACAGGTATGGGTGATAACTATACCCTACACACACAGGTATGGGTGATAACTATATGCTACACAAACAGGGATTGGAGATAACTCTATCCTACACACACAGGTATGGGTGATTACTATATATATCCTACACACACAGGTATTGGTGATTACTATATATATCCTACACACACAGGTATGGTGATTACTATATATATCCTACACAAACAGATGTATGGGTGATAACTATATATATCCTACACACACAGGTATGGGAGATAACTATATCCTACACACACAGATGTATGGGCGATAACTATATCCTACACACACAGGGATTGGAGAGAACTCTATCCTACACTCCCATATATGGGTGATGACTATATCCTACACACACAGATGTATGGGTGATAACTATATCCTACACACACAGGGATTGGAGAGAACTCTATCCTACACTACCATATATGGGTGATGACTATATCCTACACACACAGATGTATGGGTGATAACTATATCCTACACACACAGGGATTGGAGATAACTCTATCCTACACACACATGTATGGGGGATAACTATATCCTACACACACAGGTATGGGTGATAACTATATCCTACACACACAGGTATGGGTGATAACTCTATCCTACACACATAGGGATTGGAGATAACTCTATCCTACACATACAGGTATGGGTGATAACTATATCCTTCACACACAGGTATGGGTGATAACTATATCCTACACACACAGGTATGGGTGATAGCTTTATCCTACACATACAGGTATGGGTGATAAATCTACTGATCTGCACACAAAGGTGTGGCAGAAAATATTTCTGACTTGCTGTTTACATTTGTTTCAGATATTGGACTGACATTGCTGTGGGCATTTTTTTTTGTCGGAGGGTCAATATTCCAACTACTTAGGGAACGTGGCAAACCAGATTTCCCAGAATCAACGTGGAGAAATCGAAGACGGAGCAGACGTTTGGAAATTGAGGAAGAACGACAGTCTTTACTGGGTAATGGTCGTCCCACACTGTATGGTCAGTCTGGCCAAATGGTCAGCACACAGAGGACAGAAATGTCCTTACCAGAGACCTAGCTGAAGGATAAAATGATATTAACAATTTAACATAATACCGTAACATAACCAGGATTACTGAATTGTTATTTCTAATTTTGTGTACCATCATACCTTGGGGACTGTGATTGTATGCACATAATGTATTTTTGTTTGTTAAATAAGAACTTGTATAATTTCACTGATGCTGTAATACTTTTCTCCCACAACTGTAGGTTTCCTCACTCCCTGACTCATTAGATAAACCTGCTAGGAGTTGGTAAACATTTTTTGTTACCCCTAGTGGGTAACACCCTAGACGTGATTTTATTGTCACGTAACCATGCTTTCAACATCATTTTCATGTGGATTTCTAGATAAAATACGAACGTTATGGAAGAAACAGTTTCATGTGGATTTCTAGATAAAATGCGAACGTTATGGAAGAATCAGTTTCATGTGGATTTCTAGATAAAATACGAACGTTATGGAAGAAACAGGTTCATGTGGATTTCTAGATAAAATACGAACTTTATGGAAGAAACAGTTTCATGTGGATTTCTAGAGAAAATACGAACGTTATGGAAGAAACAGGTTCATGTGGATTTCTAGATAAAATACGAGCGTTATGGAAGAAACAGTTTCATGTGGATTTCTAGATTAAATACGAACGTTATGGAAGAAACAGTTTCATGAGGATTTCTAGATAAAATACGAACGTTATTGAAGAAACAGTTTCATGTGGATTTCTAGAGAAAATACGAACGTTATGGAAGAAACAGGTCCCCAAACTCGTGATGATTAGTTATCACGTTTATCTTACTCTCCTTAGTTAAGTTTTAAATTATGAAAGACACTCTGTAACCCTTAATGTGTCTTTATACAATTTGAAGATTAACTTACTTGAGTTAGATAAACATGATAACCAACCATCACTCGTTGGGGAACCTATATATATATATAACTAATTAAAATGACTACAGCACTACCACTCTCTAGAGTATCCTAGATTACAACAGTTATTCAGGTAGGGTATCATAAATTACAGCAATACTGTCGAAGTTCAATGCGACAATCCATAGGGTATCTATATTTGCTGTGATACTTGTAGGTACACTTCATGTATCACAGTAATATTACTTAAGGATCTATTTAGTTGTTTGTGCCATTGTAACAAATATTTCATCTTCTCATCAAGCCTAAATATATCCCATATGTAGCATACATATATATTTTTATATTTTACCTCATACAATGTATGTTGTCATGTCATTCATGATAGACCCACCTGATCACTATTTTCCTGTACATGTGCAGACAATGACTTCAGTTTCATTTTGTACATAATGTATATATTCTGACGTCGATGTGCTACAATTTGTAGGAGTAGCCTCCCTTGTCACACTAAGATGGATTCATGTCGGACTAGTTCGCCTTATGATCGGTATAGAAGGGGGTAGTATATTAACTGGTCAAATATGATTTTTCTGCCTTTTTTCCACAGGGGCCGTTGTATTTTCAGTTGAGAAAATGTTATGTCATAGAGTCTATACTGGAGATTAAAGAACATAAAAACTATGCAACAATCAAAACTTACATTAATGCATTTAATGTAAAAAAATATTAGAAAACGAATATTTGTGGGCTTGCGTAGATGCATTCATATGCATTTACAAATTAAAGAAACAAAATCACTTCAACTTGGTGTTATTTTGGGAAAAATAAAGCTTAATTTCTCTAAAGAAAAAAAGAAAAAAAGACCATAAAATGTCAGGTCTGTCATCCAAACAGGTATACAGGTATACATATGCCTCAGCATCACTTCAGTCTATATGCATCATTTTTGTTGACTGAAGTGACTATTAACTGCCATATAACCCTCAGCACTATACCATATTATCTATTATATATTGTAATCACTCACCTTTACCACGATAGCAACCAAGTGTATCATCTGGGTTCAACTGTTAAAATGGACACCGATTCTTTAGAATGATTTTCCACAACTTTATTGTGCAACGTGTTTTAAAAGGGGGTGGGGGGT